ATCATTATTGGTTTGATGAATAATTTTGTTTAGAACTTATGGCGCCGACTTCTAATCTATCAGTGGGTGGGTAACCTACTAATAATAATAATTTTAAATATTATATAATTGAGTAATCCGCGATTTTAAGTTAATTTGAGTATTTTTCTTTTTACTAACCACTATTTTCCTCTTCCTTTGACGAAACGTAATTTTATAATAAAGTTTTTATCATAAAAACGACCGTCAAGGCATGTAACATTGCCGTCAGAGATTAAAGTTTGACGAGTTTAGATTTAAGGCACACCTATGTATTTCATTATATAAATTTGATTTATGCAAAAAAAAATGCGTAAAACCAGGGACGATGCAATTTTATCGTAAGGCATCTTAACTCGTCGAGTACCGGTTTTGTAGACACAATTATAGAACAATAGGTGGCGGTCACCGGTGACCGCTTGGTGTTTGACAGTTTAATTTTTATTATACACAAATCAAAATTATGTAGCTTTAGGTATTTCAACTGAATCTTTAAACTGATAATTAAATTATCTGAAATAATAAAGACGAAAACAATAACAATTTATAACTCAAAATAAATTCCAGTAATTACCAGAAACACCTTATTTTAAAACATACCCGCAACCAAACGAGGTTATACATAAAACATACACATGCATACACACACGCATACATACATAACTACACATTTATACATAAACACACAAGTTTTATTCACTTCACTACTAATATGCTTAGATTTTAATGTTTGTCTGTCTGTCTGTCGATATTAATATTAAACTGAATTTTACATTACTTTTATTTTTCTATAGGTACGTAGACTAGCTTCTGCCAGTGGCTTCGGCCGGATATTTTTTTTAAGGGGGGAAAATCATCCAATGACTGCTCCCGCCTAGGTGAGGCGGGGGAGTGTCAGACTCTTACTCTTACTAAAAACCACCCCGTTCCTTCTCCTGCACTTCGAGTCAGAGCCCCGGTAACCCGTTAGGTTCTCAGTGGCTCCGTATCGGCATCAGCCCTACTGGACGCCATCCGTGGTGGTTTGATAGCTCTTTGAAGAGCGCGCGGAACGCAACGCGCCGTACGCTCGAGGTTCGTAAGGGATAAAAAGTAGCCCATGTGTAATTCCAGACCATAACCTACTCCTGTTCCCTATTTCATCCCGAACCCGATTGAGTTACAAACATAGACACGAACTCATGAACTCGTTTATACATATAAAATAAGTTGGCCAACGATTTTCATTTGTCATACATCATGGCACAATTCCAAGCTTTAAAAACTACGTATGGAGAATAGGGATGATGACAGGGTATGAAAATTAAAAATCCAATTAGTCCGTCAGTTAGGTAATGAAAAAATATTAGACACGTATTTTTTATTTTGTCGTATAATAAAGCAATACTTAGATAAACCGAATCAAAGTATAGGAGTGGGAGCTAGCTATAGGTACGTCATTTCTACGTATAAAACGTACATAGAAGTGACGTCACGCGACATTTCAAATCAATATATCGTCGAAAGATTTCGTAAAAAAATAAAAAATACGTGTCTAATGATTGTACATAATCTACCAGACGGACATTAAAATAAAAATTAGGCATCTACCGTATTACCTAAGATTAAAGATAAATACAAAGCCAATATATTTCAGATTTTCTTATTTTAACTCCAAGTTCAACAGTCCTAGACAACCTATAAGTGTCCACTGCTGACCAAAGGCCTCTTCTCACACGGAGAAGATTTGAGCATTAATCGCTACGCTTGCTCAATGCAGGTTGGTGACAGTAGTGAGAGTAGCAGTGATAAGATAATGTAGATATCAATGAGAATGAAAAATCATTTTTTTAAGTAGTAACGACTAGAGTTTCTTGCTCGTTCTTCTTCATTCGAAACTACACTTTGGAATGAGC